TTCTTCCCAATTCCTTCTGTCTCCATTACTTTACTCTGGATTAGGCTTCCATCAGCCTCTCACTGGGACTGCTACAATAGCTCCCTTCCTGGTCTCTGGTGACTCCACAATTCATCTTCCACAAGGAAGCCAAGTGATCTTTTCAAAATATAAGTCAAATCATGTCCTCGAGGTTCTCCAAAGGCTTCCCTTCACACCAAGAATGAAACTCAATCTCTATCATGGTCTTCAGGGCTTCCTCTAGTCTGTTCTCTGCTCACCTCTCTGACCTCACCTCCTCCCACCCACTGGGTTTCAGCCAGCATGGCTTTCTACTTCTCAAAACTGCCAGGCTGATTCCCTCATAAGGCATTCACAGGAATGCCTTTTACCTGGCTCTTGGTGTCACTGGCTTCATCTTAGCATCCAAGCCTTGAATTTAAATCCAAATGTTACCTTCTCCATGAAGCTGCCTCTGACCAACCCATCAAAAATAGCCCCACTGCTACCATCAATCACATCACTCCAGCCTCTCTCATTCTTCCTGGCACTTCCACTATATGTTAATTTAGGGCTTCAGCTCCTCTCAACCAGAACCTAAGTCCCAAAAAGGCAGGGATCTGTCAGTCCAGTTCAGTGTCACATGGAAGAACATCTGGCACAGGCAACCAGTATTTGCTGAATGAATGAAAAAGTGAATTTTACTTTGATTAAACATGATGTAATATCTTCTGGCAGTGAAAAGAAAATCCAGTATAACAATGACAAGTATTACCGAATCGAGAGAGAAATTTTGAAAATCATTAATCTCAGAAGAACTTTAAATTATCCTTAACAGTGCTGGTAATAGATCACATTCCTAAGGGCCCCTACTGAATTATGAGTAAAATTTTCATACAGCCTCAGTGTTGAGTTTTGGAAGTGTGTCATTTTGTTTAAATCTGTTTATAGAGATATGCAGATATGAATGATCATAGAGGAGCACTGTGATTAAGAGCATGGGCCTTCAGTAAAGCCTGAGTTCAGTCACAGATCTGCACTGGAATTTGAACAAGTAACTTACCTCTTTATGCTTGCTTTCTCATTTGTAAAATAGACCTATTAATAGCGATTTCATAGTCATTAGAATCATTGTGAAGATTAAATGACGCTTTTAAAGCATCTTGTTGTATCCGGCATGCAGTAAGTAGTCAACAAATTCTTATCATTATTATGAGTGCTGAGAATAGAGAAGTCCAGACAAATGGGACAGCTCAAAAATTGTGTGTACCTACTGTAATACAAGGCATCATGCTAGGTAAGTAATTCTCAAATTTTACTGTACAGAAGACCCACCTAGGCAAATTCCAAGATTCTTATTAAGTCAAAGGTGGAATTTTCAGAGACCTGCAATTTTCAGCATAAATTCAGTCAATTCGGATTCACTTGGTCCATGAACTCTGATAAACCCTGTGCCAGGTGTCCTAGAGATTAGCCGATATTTGAGTCTCCCGTCTTCTACGAAGTTATATAATCTACAAGGGGTAAAAACAAACAATACAAAGCAATGTAGGAAAAGTAGTGCAGACAATACAGGCAGGAAAGACTTCAAGAACGAAGGGTCATCTGTAATAACATGATGAGTAGGAATTCATGAAGAACACATTTCCCAGACTTTCAGGAACAATCGTGTTGTAAAACAAGTACAACAAGCAGACAGCTTGGCAGGAACAGAGGATCTGCAGTGAGGATGGAAAAACAGTGTCAGAAAAAAAAAAAAAATAAGAGGCTCGAGAAAAACATCAGTGCCAACCTAAACAGTATGGGCTTTATTCAGTGCTGGCACTGGAAGCTAATGGTTTTTGAGGAGAGAAATGATAAATTAGGGTGCTGTTCTTTAGCAGAGTACTCTGATGAAGCTATGCAGGATCAAGTAGAATGAGAATAACAGACAATGGGAATAGTGAGTCTGTGAGCACTCACTCTAATCTCAAAGAAATGAAAGTCAGGAGAGGGCAGTGAAAAAGATTAAAAAGGAAGGAATGGCAACTCTTAATGACTCAGTGCCTATAGGGCAAAGGCAACAATCACAGTTGATTGCTTAATCCTTAAATCCAAATTGTATCACTATCAGCTTCATGTTACTTTTTAGAACTTTTTCTTATATACTAACTACACTAAGTATATAGAGTTCACTTACTTAAAACACAGCCCACAATTAAGAGGTCAGTAAATAGGCCTCTGGCCAAAATACATGTCACACGGTTCATACACTAAAAAAAGCATTTGTGTATATATAATAAACACACACATATATAATATTCAGAGCTGCACAATCTTATTTTACACAAAGTTCTAGCAAATGTAAGCATCTAATTTCCAAACCCACAGCAGTTTGGAAACAAAATTAGAAGAAAAGAGCCTGCTATAGGTAGACATACCTAAGAGTCTGAGGTTCAAGAGAAAAAAAAATGAAAACTATAAAAAAGCACACGCAATCACTCAGGGTAAGTTCTCCACAACTGTTTATTGATCGGTACACATAATTCCCAGAAAAATGAAATTAATGAAACTCCTCCTTCGTGTTCCAAGTAAACCACCACAGAAAGAAAACTTTTAAACATTCTTTAAAGCTAAAGATTCCCAAACAAATATTTACCTGATAAATAGAATTTTTAAAGGACGGCTGATACACGCCAACACAGACACCCTCTCGCCAGCACCCAAGATATAGTCGATAAATAGTTTACAACACACAAAGTTTGAAGATGATTAAAAATGCTTTCATAAGGCATCCAATCAAGAATATGGTCCCAATGATGAAGCTTAATTTGGGCAATTCTTTTCTGATGGCTGTGACTTGGAATTCCATGATCCAAATAACATGAGGGTATCCTCGATAAAAATTAACACCAACAAAAGGGTCTTAAATACATACCCTATAAACTTACCTACCGAAATCAGGCAACATAATTTGACACTCAACATCATTAACAGGCTGAACGACAACCAGTTTTTAAATAGCAGACAAGCACATCAGTGTATATTTACGACACCACAACATCAAAATTATCTTAAGCATGTTGTAGAGGTAAAGCAACTCAATGGAATTAGGCCTCTCATTTTCTTTGACACGGCAAAGGATAGCAAGAATTGAAGCACACACTTCAAAAACTTCATAAAATGGTCAGGCCACATTAAGGTGTCAATGATTAAGCCCCGGAAAACGCCAAATATGCTACATTATAACCATACAGACAGGCGGAGGAGTCAGCTGCGCCCCCACCCAACCCCGTCCATCTCCTTGTGGTCATCCTGGCCCTCTAGAAGCATACAGGACCACACTAACCGAAGCCAAAGAAAACGGGTCTCGGAGACCGCGCTCTTCAGAGTGTAACCTGCGACCCACAAACCAATTTGGTGGATTTCAAATCAGCGTTTTTAGCGAGAGGGAATGGAACAGGGCACAAATTATCAGAAGGCATCACATGTAACAAGGGTGAATAGTGCTGCTCTGTGAGACTTTTCATTCATGTATGTTATGTACAAGGCCGTAATGTAAAAAGTATTTAATACGGGGGAAGGGTTCAAAAAAAAAAAGTCTGAAAGCTCTTAACCTTAGAGATGTAGTCTCTAATATAATACCTATATACCTATAATACCCCCTAATAATACCTGTGTAATCGTTACATCTAAAAATAAAATTTCTATTTTAAAATTCATATTCTAAATGCCTCAGGACCCCAAGGCTGAGTGTTTTCCTTAGTCCTCAGCACCTACACAGAATCTCTGCTCAAGGTGGCCTCCTGGAAACCAATCTGAGAGCTCCAGGCGGCAGAAGGAGAAAGGGGACAAGTCCCAGCTAGGCCTGGGTCGGTGCCTAGAAGGATGGCTGACCCCCCACCCCCCCGCCCCCCAGACAGCAGCCCGGGGCGGTGCCTGCAGGCTCCGGGTAACTCAGCAGCCCCCGGGCTGCAGACCCCGCTTCCTCCACGGGCGGCCAACCAACTTCCCTTAACTCCACCTCCCCAGGTCGCCGCCTCCAGAGGAGGGCGTGTGGCCCCTTCAGGCTCCAGCAAACCCCCCAGAGCGTCTTCCCGGGGTGGGGGGCTAGGACCCTGGAGTCCCCATCTCCGGCAGAGCATGAAGCTGCACACACAGATCCCTGCGGTGGCTCCCCTCCCAGACCAGGCCAGGGTCCCCCCCTGCCCTGCCCTGCCCTGCCCTGCCCTCCGGGGCCCCATCTTACTCTCACTTCTCACTCCCTCACTTCTCAGCGTCTCCCAACTTGCAGGGCGAAAAGCGATTCTCCCAAAAGCCCGTCCCAGACTCCCGCCACCTGTCACCGTCCCCTGGAAGGGGCAGGCCTGGCGCCCCAGGAGCGTGGAAGTGCCCGCCGGCTCCGTTCCCCTCCGAGCCTCCCAGGGGACACGTCCTCTACTTTTGTTTTGTTTCGTCTTCTTCCCCTCGGGATGCAGGGTTCCGAGACGAGGTTTCCGGTTCGCCAGCAGCCGGGGGCAGCCCATCCCCCACGGCCCCGGGAGCGCGAGCAGCCTCCGGCCCAGGGCCCTGCCCGCCGCCCGCCCGGCCCGGCCGCCCCCGCCCCGCCCCGAGGGCTTCCCCGCGGCGCCCCCGCCTCGCCCCCACCCCCACCCCGCGCCCCAGGCGGGAACGGCCCTCCGCGCCTCGGCTCCGGAGGGGAGCGCCCGGGAGCCGGCGGGCCCGGGCTCCACTCACCCCTCAGCCCGGGAGGCGGGGGAGCTGCTGCGGCGGCTCCTCGGGCGGCGCCTTCCTCCCCCCTCCCGGCTCCGCCTCCGGCCTGCTCCCGGCCGGCCCCGGCCCCGCGCCGCTGCACCGCGTCCCCCGCTCCGGCCGCCGGGGCCCAGTGTCCTGCCTTGACCCGGAAGCAGCTCTCACGGCCCCACAACAACACGTGACCCCGCCGCACGTGTCACGTCCGCTGCGTGCAGGGGAGGGGGGCGCCGGGGGAGCGCGGCCGCCGCCGTCGGACTCGGGTTGCCATGGCGACGGGGCGGGGCACCTGCCCTTGCCCTCGGCCTCGCCGAGAGGCGCCCTCGGCGCCAAGGGGGGGTGAACCGCCCCAGCGGGTGAGGCAGGGGCGAGTGGCGCGGAGCCTGGGCGGCCGCGAGGCAGCTGCCTTCCACTCGGAGCGTTGGCCCGACCCTCCGCGGGCTCACCTGCCTCGGTCGACCCCGATCAGCTCACGCCCCGCCTCTGCCTGCGGTTTCCTCAGAGGTGAGCCCCGGGCTGCCGGCTCCTCGAGTCCCAGGGTGCTCTTGCCCGACGAGGCGCTCACGCTCTGGCCTGTATCCGCCCCCCCCCCCCCGCAGGGCCTGGGGCGTCCTGAGCTCTCCGCGCCCCGGCACCGACCGAGTAGCGCCTGCCTCCCCCTTCCAGGAGCACCTTCTAGGTACTGGGCCCTGTGCGTCGGCTCTTTCTAAGTTTAACAACTTGCAAGAGTGATGAGCATTTGGTAGACTTGAAAACGGAAGCTCACGGAGCTCCAGTGATCTGCCCCCAAGACCATGCAGTTGGGAGAAGGGAACAGGCCGCGATGTGAATCCGGGTTAGTCTGGCCCCAAGCCGAAGGCCATGCATGCCCTAGCTCCGTACACGCCGCCGTACGTGACTGCCGGGCTGTGATGGCTTTTGCACTCACTTATTTGTCCGTTTCTTTTGCAGGAACATTCATGGACTGGGGATGCTGTCGACTGATCCCCGAAGAGAATTCAGCCTCGTATGGATATGTCAGCCTGAAGGGCTAGGAATCGGAAAGGTCTGTGTGCCACGCACATGCGGTGTGTGTGTCAGGGAGCTGGTGAGGAATTGTGACACACATGGACGTGTATATATTGGTCCCTAGAGTGACAGAGACAAAGTTCTTTAAGGGGGACCCAATGGCAGCTTATCACCATCACTCCTAGGGAGGGACTGACTTCTCTCATTGTGTTTTGTCTTACCACATCCGAAGAGCTTAGAGAAGTTAGAGGAAGAGCCGGAAAAGCCCCAGAGCTGTGAAAAAAAAAAAAAAAAAAAAGATTTATTTATTTTAAAAAAGAGAGAGTAGGGGGAGGGGCAAAGGGAAAGAAACTCCAGCAAACTCCCCTGCTGAGCACAGAGCCCAAAGCAGGGCTTGGTCCCAAGATCCTGAGATCATGTCCTGAGCCAGAATCAAGAATTGGGTGCTCAACGGACTGAGCCACCCAGGTGCCCCTCCAGAAATGCTGGTGAAAGAAAATGCTTTGAGGATCAAGGGGAGGGTGAGCCAAGCAGTGTGGCTTAGGTTGCTGAGGTGGGGACTTTCCTCCTCCTCCTGCAGAGAACAGAGCAGTACCCTCAAAGTACCCTCAGTGGCAAGGACCAGAAAAGAACAAAGGGACATAAGTGCATAGGAGGGAGAACAAGGTTGATGCTGCATGGATATTTTGTTGATAGACTCCTTGTGAGCTCAGGTGCCATTGGGCGCACACATAGAAATACTGGGGAGGCTAGATATCCTGTGAGCAACTAGAAAAAGATAAGAAATGTGGATTATTAGTGGACAATGTATATAAATACATATATGAGTATCATCTGTAACTGAGTATGATTAGTTATATATGCCTTTGTTTTTTTTTGAGATTTCTTTGAGTCATTTTGCTTTTGTTCCTCTTTCCCGCCTTATAGAGCAAACTCCTATAGAGCAAACTCCTAAAGACAAGATCAATGTCTCCACCCTTCTCCTGCCTATCTCCATAAGATGGCCAGAATTATGTTTCTAAAACTCCTGTCTGATCATATTATTCTCTGGAACTTAAAATCCTTCTGAGACTTTACCCTCAGGGTAAAGCCACAATGATTGACATGTTCCTCGAGGCTTTTCCTGGTCCGGAACCCTGCTGAATTTTCCAGTCTCATCTCTTGCCTTTTTATTCTCCTGCTTTATCACTCTCTGTTCAACCTGGTAGCCGCTAGGCATGTGTGGCTATTTAAATTTAAATTAATTAAAATTTAGTTAAATTAAAATTGCATTTCCTGAGTTATATGACACTGGCCACATTTCTTGTGCTCAGTAGCCATATGTGACTATCATATTGGACACTGCTGATCCAGAATATTTTTATCTTCAAAGTGAGTTTTTTGGGCAGTGACTCTCAAAACCTCATGTATGATATATTCTATGGGAATTCATATTCTTTTGCTTGAAACATTCTTCTTCCCCCCTCCTTGAATCTAAAAATTCTACAGAATTGCTTATTTTGTTGTCTCCTTGGTAAGTGTGTAAGCCTCAATGAAGGCAGGAGCAAAGTCTATCCTGTTCCCCATTGATTCTCCATTGTCTCTAAAGGATTGTCATGTAGAAGAAAAGAGATGTTGAACTAAAGTGAGAGGCAGTAATAGAAAGGCAAATTTCTGGTCTCATCATTTTTTTTTTTTTTAGAAATTCTTGATAATTCAATTGTTTTGACCTAGAAACAGCAATTTCATACAGTTTAACTTAATAGTAAGGAAGAACTTTGGAAGAATCAGAGCTGCTTCAGTTGGTTCTAATGAGTTCCGTGTCACTGGGATAGGTTAAGCAAAAGCAGACTGTGTTAGAACAACGTGTGAATATTTCCTGGGTTGGTTAGACTGCTTGACCGGTCTGATTCTAAGAAAAGACATCAATGTTTCTCCAACTGAGCCTGTAATTCAAGGTTGAGTATGCCATAATGACAATCATAGCTAGCCAAAGTCTACATACCAGATACTGCTCAAGATATTTCACATAGGGATCCCTGGGTGGCGCAGCGGTTTGGCGCCTGCCTTTGGCTCAGGGCGTGATCCTGGAGACCCGGGATCGAATCCCACGTCAGGCTCCCAATGCATGGAGCCTGCTTCTCCCTCTGCCTGTGTCTCTGCCTTTCTCTCTCTGTGTGACTATCGTAAATAAATAAAAAAATTAAAAAAAAATAAATAAAAAAAAGATATTTCACATAGATTATTTCCTTAATCCTCACAGTGATCATGTGAAGTCCATTTGGTACCATCAGATTTGCCAAGTGAGAGTCAGGTTAAGTAATATACACAGAACATACAGCTAGTAAATGGCAGAGGCTGAATTCACATTTAGGTCAGTGTGACACCAGAATCTGAGTGCATAATAGCCCTATAATTATAGGATAGAGTTCTATCATGAAGTTTCAGTCAAATATTTGCATGTCTTTTAATGTAACACATGTTGGTTTTATAGTGAATATTCCTTGCACTTAGCTAGGTGGTTTGGGGAAAACAAAGATGGATTAGGCATGGTTCCTACAGCATAGTTGGAAAGATCATGCAAATACTCAAATAACAATGATATGGAACAATTAATAGTATATTATTTTAAAAAGAGGAGTCATGGGATCCCTGAGTGGCGCAGCGGTTTGGCGCCTGCCTTTGGCCCAGGGCGTGATTCTGGAGACTCCGGATCGAATCCCACGTCGGGCTCCTGGTGCATGGAGCCTGCTTCTCCCTCTGCCTATGTCTCTGCCTCTCTGTGTGTGTCTCTCATGAATAAATAAAAATCTTTTAAAAAGGGGCGGGGAGTCTTCTTAGCTGAAGGCATCTCTCAAGTAGGCATAGGATAAGGACAGAATTATATGAGAATTCAATCACATATATGAGAATTATATGAGAACGACAGTACACATATGGGATCAAGGAGAAGGAAAAACCGACCACTTCACTTGAAAGAATAGTGACTGGTTTGGAAATTAAAAGTCAGCAATATTAGTCCTGCTTTTTCCACTAACCAGCCATGTCATTTGATCTCTTTCTGCCATGGAACTTTATCCAAATAACCTGGACTGAACAAACTACCATAGTGAGCCAACTGAAATCATGTATAAAATATTATGTACATACCTATATTATACATTCATACATACATTTTCAAGAGGAAGTGCCATAGATTCCGTCAGATTCACACACACACACACACACACACACAAATCACGACTCAAAAAAATGTTAGGCTTCATTGTCACTTTAAATTCTGCAACTCTGAGATTCTATGTTTTATTTTTGTCAACATTATTGACATATCTGTCAGGAAATGGACTGTCATGCCAAGCTTATTGACCAAGCAAAGGGCAGAGATATTTTTATTTTAAACTGGAGAATCATACCTAGAATGATTTAGAAAGCATCCAGATTTCCTCACTGGGCAGAGAATGGTCTTAAAAAACAACTCTTAATTTACTTTTCTGCAATTTACATAAATGGATCAGTCATGTGGAGCTTAATTTTCAAGGAAGCCTTGCATTTATTAAAATCATTTGCAACAAATTGATATAAGCCTCACTAACATACATACAGATTGCTGCACATACAAATGTACACAAACGGACAGTCTAATGAATTATCGCAACGCAAAAACTCATGTAATACCACCTTACCAAGTGACAGAACATTGCCAGTTTCCCAAAGCCTCCTCCCTAATCACTACAGTCATTATTCTCCGCAAACTAATATTCTGACTTCTAATATTGTGGCTTATTTTCCTGTTTTTAAACTTTATATAAGTGGAATCAAATTAGATGATTTAAATACTTAACACTATGAGAGTCATCCATGTTGTTGCATATAGCTGGAGTTTACTGATTTTTTTTGCTAAATAGTATTTCTTATTGCAATCACTCTACCATTTATCCATTCCCCTGTTGAAGGGCATTTGGGTTATTTCCGGTTTTTAGTTATTGTACATAATGTTGCTATAAAATTCTTGAGCCTAACTTTTACTGCACAAACATACATATTTCTGTTGGGAGCATACCCAGGAATAAAATTAATGGCTCTTAGCTTTGGATCAGCACTGTCCTAGAAATAGAGTGCAAGTCACCATATGTAATCTAAAATTTTCTAGTAGACACATCAAAAAAGTTTTTAAGAAAGTGAAATTGATATTAAGCATGAATTTTTAAAAAGATGTATTCATCTATTTACTTTTTTATTTTAAGATTTTATTAATTCATGAGAGACACACAGAAAGAGGCAGAGGCGGGCAGCCCTGGTGGCGCAGTGGTTTCGTGCTGCCTGGAGCCTGGGATGTGATCCTGGAGACCTAGGATCCAGTCCCACGTCTGGCTCCCTGTGTGGAGCCGCCTTCTCCCTCTGCCTGTGTCTCTGCCTCTCTCTCTCTCTCTCTCTCTCTGTGTGTGTGTGTGTCTCTATGAATAAGTAGATAAAATCTTAAAAAAAAAAAAAAAAGAAGAAGAAAGAGGCAGAGGCATAGACAGAGGGAGAAGCAGTCTCCCCGGAAGGACCCTGGGATCATGACCTGAGCCAAAGGCAGACATTCAACTGCTGAGCCACCTAGGCATCCCTATGAGCAGCAGGGAGGGGCAGAAAGAACAGGAGAGCATCCCCAAGCTGACTCCCCACTGAGTGCAGAGCTCAGGATGGGGCTCAATCCCATGACCCTGAGATCATGACCTGAGTTGAAATCAAGAGTCCAGTGCTTAACTGGCTGAGCCACCCACGTGCCCCAAGCATGCATTTTATTAACCCAGTGCATCCAAAATACTAGCATTTCAACATGTCATCAATATGAAAATTATTAATCAGATATTTTACATTCTCTTCTACATGTTAAATCTTCAAAGTTCAATATGTGTTTTACATTTATAGCAATTTGGACTACCCACATTTCAAACATTCAGTAACCAACATTATTCGTCTTTGTATTGGTTTTGTATTGAACACCTACATTGGATGGTGTGGCTTTGGATGATACTACCTGACAGTATTTCACAGTGGCTGTGCCAATTTACC